AGTTCGAACAACTGGGCCCTGGCTCCGGCTGTTCAAACGCTGGATAGTGCTATCCACCGGATAAATCACTATCCAGCGGATAAGTATTTGGGAAACCAATTGCGTTATCCACTGGAGAGAGATTTATCCATCGAGTAGCGCTATCCACCTTTTGAACAACTGGGGCCAAATGGGTTCGGCCTGTACTCTGGCTGTTGTAATTTTTGGTACTCACCAGGTGGCAGGTTAAACCACAGGCGACCCAAGATTCCATTGTGTAATACTTGTTGTGTGTGCCCTTTCATTTCGATTTAAGGCGTGCCAAAATCGCCTTGAGGAGGGAAAGTTAGGGCACAGACAGCAAGTAATACACCATAAAAGTAAGATAAGGTATTCTTATTAAGAATTTTTTTTTATCTATGTTTTCTAAAGAGAAGTATTTCCTAGGAATATATCATGTGAAGATTTTTAAATTGCATTTGAAGTGTTTGCTGATAATGGTAAAGTAAATACTGAAGTTATTGTGTTATGTGAATCAGCTTCCCTTTCGTCTACCAAACGTTTGCCAAGACAGTTAAAAAGGTAAAGGAGTTCATAAAACCACTATCTGTCAGCAAAAAAATGGAACAAGATTTCGAGAATAAAGAAAGGAATCCTGTATCTCAGAATCAACAGGGCCATTTGTACCTGTTTCTTGTGTTTTTTCTGTTGGCTACACAGTCCGACAGCTCGTTGAGCTCATTGTGGAACGAAAGACTTGGGCTTTTGAAAAGTTCTTCCCAGTTGAGACAAGCCCATACTGGCATTAATTCCCCCGAAAGAAGCCAACTTTGCACATTACTAACGTGCCAGGAGAATATCGACTCTAATTTTCAATATGAAAGAGGACTTAACCAAAACCCAATCCTAATTTTAACACGCGCAGACTATAAACTTCCGGCACTGGTGAGGAACCTGTTGTTTAAACAACATGATTTGAATATCCCAGCTTTTTTAATGATTGTTTGTACTAGATATTTACAGACTTTTGCCGGATTGAATTCTCTTGTGACTTAACACTGACGTTCAGTCAACATTAACATCTTCTTTGGTATAAAGTTTTATCCAAACCTTTGTTTTCGGCAATTATGAAAGTTACCACTGATTTTTTTTAGGAAAGCTGGCATTAAAATGTTTTTTTTTTCTTTCACAAAGAATACCTTTTTCAAATTTTGATTTGAATGCCCATAATCGAAATTGTCCCTCCGGAATTGCCTGTTCGGTGTTGGACTTATGAACCTTTTAAAGAGAAAATTCATACAAAGTGTTACCGTATTTGGCGTTCTCTTGGAGCTGCTTTGATTAAGGGTTATAAATTAGTGTAACCAACCATGAACCAACTATGAAGGTCAACTCTTTTCAAGTTTGCAGGATTCACATCCATGAAAAGCAAATATTATTTCAAAATCCTGTTCTGAATGCTTAGCAATTCTCGCCGAAACGTCTCCTTAACTTGGGTGTTTGTCCTTTTCTGAATTTAATTTTGAGATACTCTGGAATTTTAGTAAAGAGGCATCGTCTAAATTCCAGTTCTTAAAATAAACCGCAGAACACGCCCATAAAGAACGTCCAGTTTGACATAATCAGCGGCTTCCGATAGAAGTGTTCTGACACCGTAGAAACGAGATAGTACAACCGCCTTATAGAGCGTTTTTACTCACGTGGCCAGCATCAATTTAAATTTATTGGAACAAGAGAATTCGTTTTCATAAGAAAAGAGTTCAACTCCCACAGGATTGGTTTAGAATACCCACATGGCCGCCGTTTTATTTATTATTTTGGAACACCAATATAGCCTTCGTGACGTCTTATGAAAAACGTTTTACCAAGATTGCCAAACCTAGACGTAACACTATACTTGCTGGAATTATTTATTGTTATTTTTTATGATCACTTATTTGGAAACAAGATGTCAAGTAGCATTGGAGCACTTAATGGAATCGAATTTCTGTTGGAAAGGCTTCAATAATCTTATAAAAATTCTCGAGTAACTAGACTGAAAGATTGAATTTAGAAACATGTCGCGTGAAACATTCAGCGGCGTTTTTTTTTTGGGGGCAATGGTAATATCGTCGATTTATGTAGAAGGAACGGAGAAAGGTTCCGGCAATTTCACCATGGCGGACGAGTGTACCTCTTAAGAAGTTTCGGTCTTAAAAGATCCCGAAAACTCGGATAACAAACTAATCATTGTGTTTCTTTTCATATTTTCTCTTGTTATAGGTACTGATAATGATGTAGAAGGAAAACACCGTTAAATCTCTCTCCTGCCCTCACACCATTATATACTCACTGGACCCAAACCAATGATATCTTTATATTTGCCGCTGAAATATTTTAAACCACTTCAAACCCAGTCGCCAGAAAAAAATGAAAATTATTAAAGAACCACTCCATCGAAACCGAGGGGATTTAAATTACAAAATAAATTTACTGAAATACGCGATAATCTTTTGGCAATTTCGACGGAAGAGAAGCCAGTCTTTTTCAATTTGTCATTAATATTTGCAAATAACCATAATGCAGACTTCAAATCACTTCATGCTGTTAAAATTTATATGGCTGAAGCCCGTAAGTATATGCTTTAATTCACATCTCTTAGTTTCTTCTCTCAAATGCCTCACTGAGACAGACAATTACGCTTGTCGAATAAATCCTCTCGCAAACATTACTTTTTGAATTAATGCATTCTAACTACATGAACCTGAGCGAGGTTAGACCTCTACTGACGTGAAAAGCATGTTGCGTTCAACTTAACTGTGAATTTTTCTGTTTCTTTTATTGAAGCAGGCCTGCAAGTGACTGTTAAAATAAGCTCGACATCTTGAAGTGTTACTGTAAGTGCTCTCGTCAGAATATTTCAAAATCACAATCCCTTTCACTGTCTCTGTTCAAAGTTTAGTTCCAACCAGTTAAAATCCACTACACGTCTTATGCTCAATTCCGATGAAAAATCTTGAGCCATACTTTTGTTTTCATTTCTATTTTTTAAAACGTTGTAATGCTCAAGTGTGTATGTTTTTTTTAATGAACATACAACGCCGTTTCTTGGGAAAGTCATAAGAAAAAATTACCTCATTTTGAGGGGATCGGCGTCTTTATAAAGTACTTTCTCATCGTAGACTTCAAAGTTAGTGACATGGCAGAGAATACTTATGGACGAGAGAAATTGTACCTGGATATTTTATAAAAATTACCTTCAGTTTTGGTACCGTAGAGTTAGTCTTGAATTGGATCAAATCTCCTTTAACACCCTGTAAAACTACTCTGTTTTTTTCCGTGGGGTAATTCTTATAGCTGTTCATAACAGTTGGAATTCTTTGGAAATTGATTAACAATTGAGAAAAGCCGATTCTTCAGAAATATAAGATGGAGCTAAGTGAGCAAATTATTCTGTTTCCTTAAAGTTATTAAAAAGATGAGACTCGCCGCAAGTCGGAAGAAGTTCAAAATGATTTATTACTAAGAACATATATCATTTTAGTGTAACTGATTAGTGACTAGAACTGAGCTCACGTTCAAAAAAAAAAAATTTGTGAGAGGCAGTAAAAGCTTAAAATGGTACATGGCACTTTTCTTGAAATTTGCCGAAACCTATTGTTAATTTAGATCCGTGGAACGATTTGTTATTATTAGTCCTTTACGAAATAGATGTAATTTAACTTCGTCAGTTTCGATTTTTGATTACGTTCAAATTTATCTAGGACTGAATTTTAATTTTGATCTCTGACTAGTGATAACTGAATGTCACAGTTTGCCCTATCGGCTTTGATGCAACTCAGAAGGAATTTTTCACACACTCATTAATGTTTTACCCTCTGCAGAATATACATAACGTAAAAAGCGCTATTATTAAAAGAAAAATTTCCTTGATGCGGGTGGGTGGCCGGTGTTCTCACTAACTAAATAAAACATAAATCAACTGTGCAGTTTTTGTGCTTTACAACTGCATCGCCTTCCTCTAGTATCGGTGTTACTGTATGGAAGAAGTTTAATGACAAAAAAGTGTAAAATATGCTATTTGAAAGGACAAGAATGAAAATAAAACTTTCTCACGTTTACGACTGTGGTGGGACGTACTCATATTTCTTCGATGCTTTAAGACGCGATACGTGATGTAAGGGAAAAGCGTTGCTTTTATGCATATGTTCACAGCTGTAAAACTAGGCGTGATTCGCACGTTATGACTCACGCGAATTCACAGCGTTATGATCGTTTCGGTTATACACGGTTGATGGGCTTAATTTCCGAAAAACCTTAAACATTATTTCATTAGCCTTCTTTGTTATCACTAAAGTTGTCAGCGTATATTTCCAGCGTAATACAGCATAGCAATAATTAGCTGTGCCATTGAACGCGCAATGTCAGTGTTGTATGGTAGTCTATTCAGTCTCCTATTTAGACTGAAATTCGCCAGATTTGACATTTTTGTAAACGCATTTTGTGTTTTCAAAGCTCACGTTCTCGTCTCACTATAGAATCCATTTAACCTAACTATTACATGTCTTGGTTTTTACGTAAATAAAATGCTCGGCTTTGTTTCCTTCCGATGAATTTCTTTTGATATTTGTCGCCATAATCGACTAATCCGTAATGCCACGATGGAATATGTTTTAAGCTTTCCTGCTCGCTTTCGTAATAATGAAAGTTGAATAGGGAAAGAAGAATTTGGAATGAAAATTTATATGCGGACTTGACAAATATCATATATGTTAATGATCAAAAGAGACTTAATTTGCCATATGACCTCATCAAAATGTCCTGTCCCTGACTGATCCTGTACACAAGTAAATCGTATATCGTCAACTGAATCTGTTTTTAACTTTGCATCTTACACGTACAGTTGTTTGCTTCAATCTAGAATGATAATGCATTAGACGCTACCAAAGGCCCGAATCAGGCCTTTTTTTCCCACGAACAGCAGTATTTTTCTTCAATTTCTGTATTTCAGTTTCTCTGTTGGTGGACTAGAAAATAGCATGTCAGTCGAGGTAGTCTTCATGTTCATGGCTTATTTCAGTGTTTTGTTTGCTTGTAATAAGTTGTTGTAAATAAAGAACTACTGATTTGTTAGGTGATTTGAATTTTTCATTGGAAACTAATGTATGAAGTAAAAAGTGTTCCTTCTCTGGAATACTGCCACGTGTCTCCTTAAAATTAAACCAAACTGATCTCTTTCGGAATCAAGTCACCAGGCACCATAAACCGCGACTCCAAAAACCGAAAAACTGCAGAGAGCGGGCGTAAGGTCGCCCTCAAGAAAGGCTAAAACCCTTCTGACTCGAAACTATACTTAACCAATCGAAACGGCGCGCTAATTATCGTAGTGTCAGTCATTCTTCTGTGCAACGCGCGAGAAACTGACGAATGATGTTTATTTCTCCAGTTACAAAGATTGTTCAAGTATCTATAACAATACATTTATAAGGTAAATTTATCATTGCTTTTGGTTGTGTGGTCGGAAAAATAACCAGCAGTTCTTCGTTAACACACCATTACCCACTAGACCGTTAATCGTTTAAGCTTCCGTAACAAATACTTTAGTTATTCCGAGTCACCAGTTCTGAAAAAATCACTGGACTCTGTATGAAACTGTGCAGAGATATTTAACCTCAAGCTAAACGTAAAACGCTTATAGCAGGAGAAAGTCGCTCATTTCAACGTATGAGAACTTGCAAGAAATCGTGCCTACCCGGCCTAAAATAACTCAAAGTTCTTTTCATGTTTTAAACAACACAATATAATACTATTCTCCCACGAAGGAAGTAGTTAGCAGTACGAACCCTTTATATACAAAAAGCTAAATCTAAACTGCATTTCAAAAGCACTTGAACTCAAGTACACTTGCGTGTCGACCAGTCCTTTTTGGGGTGGAACTAAAAAAGAAACGTTATCCATAGGTCAACAGCGGGAAAGTCTTTCAAACCCACTTGAAATTTTTTTGCAGATATTGATTCAGCGTCGTTTTCATCTTTTCCCTTCGGTATTTTCTGAAACTACTTACAAGCGTGAAAATTGCCCTCAAAATGTTAAAAGGCCTAATATTCGTTCAAAAGAAGGAATTGAAAAAGCGTTTTGGCTGATAACATCGTCATTTGGCCTCCGAAAGTTGCATTTTCGTAGCAGAGAGGTAATCATCATTTTTGCCAGTAAATAGGGTAAGTTCTTTGGCTCGTGTGACTACACACTGACTATACACTAACAAAACATGCAACTATGCCAGCGATTTGTTTTAGTGCTACACCGGTTTGACAGGCTTATGAGTAAAGTACCAAAATATATTGTAAGCGGCGCTTATGACGACAGTAAAACATTGGAAAACATTATACGTGATATGATAGTTGGAAGGCGATTCTAAGAAGATACTTGCCAAGTTAAAAAGTAGAAATTGTAGCGACCGAATAACTCGCGCAACTTCGTCTTTATAATGGCCAGATAACGCGCGCAGATTCTACCCTCACTGCTTTGCATTTTTATCGCTTCTGTGCGGAAGCTCTGAGAAATACCACTTAAACGACTGGTTTATCTCTCTCTCTCTCTGGGCAAAAAAACCTATAAAACTTGTTAAACATACTTCAAGAGTTACAGACCTGTTACTGAGATGAGACGGGTGTCAAAAAGTTATAAACTTTTCACTCACTGTAGACATTGGCGTTAAGAAGGTGGCCGTCAAGTGTGGTTCCTGCTTGCACACATGAAGAAAGCTTTATCATTTCAGCGAAAACAAGACAATACCGGCATTCAGAAGAGCATATTAGTACGTCTGTGAGTTATTTGTTTCGTTTTCAACCGATGGTCAGTATCAGAGAGAAAACACTTTAAATGTTGCTGATGCATATAAGTCATAATACTGATTATTAAGTTTAATGACTTTTTCTCAATTCAGGCGCGATGAAGACTCAACCAGGGAATTATACAAACAACGTAGATGTTACGGAGGAATTATTAGGAAAAATTGATACCAATTTCAAGGTTTGTGTGGTGCGGGTTAGTTGCCGAAACTTTAAAGCAAACGATTGACAAGTTTAATATTTCCATTAAATGCTTATTACTTTTAAAATACTGTTTTTTGTGACTACACAAATTTGAAGTCGTGCAAAATTTTAAGTGCTTGGTATCTGCTTTATATAAACTTACCGCTTTTAATCCAGATCTTAGTCGTGTATTTTTCCCAACTCAATATTGATCGTTAACTATCGAGGAAAATGTCTGCCAAATGGAAAGGGATATCATAAGAAGATGATGCAATATACCCCAGCATAAGTCTATACTGCTTGACGTACTAGGCAATAAACTTAACACTGTTCACGGGAAATTGTTTCTCTTTCCCAGCTGTTTAATTATAATATATCAGATCTAGTCTCTGATACAAAATTCGTGTGTGTCACTTTGCCTGTAGTCTGAACTGTCGAGACGTAATCATACGATTCAGTAATTTATAAAAGAACTCTTTCTTTGAAATTTACTTTTCTCTTATAATGAGTTCACTTTTTTTGCATTGAAACAAGATATTTACCCAATAAAGGGCCTCATTAACACTTTAAAAAGATGCAATTCCGGATACGATAAAATCAATAGGAGGTAAGAAACGTAAATTTTCTCAAAGACCTGACTTAAACGTTCTATTTCTTCTTATAGCTTAGTATATTTACAGGTATATTTAATAACGTTCGGAGACGGACTAAAGGAAATCGGGAAACAAAAAAACCTGTCGTGCAATGTAGTCTTTTCACAAGCAAATATGTGATTATTGGTTTTCCACATCTAGTGATTAGTCCGTTATAAGCACAGAAACTGATTAAACTTATTTGGAGACGTTGAAATGAAGACAAAACAAAGGAGTATAATCATAATACGGCTTTGCATCAGTACTGTTGAATCATACTTAAAAATAAACTGTTTAAGAAACCACAACAAAAAAAGGGGATATGTAGAATCAAAGTTTCCTTTTCTAGTAATAATACTCTGTTCCTATATAGGACCATTCAGAAACTGGTTGATTACTGCACTCGTTGCACCAAAAATCTCGCCTTCAGTACCCGGGATATTTTGTAGAATAATATATGGCAGCGTCAGTGGGTGATTCCCGGAAAGTACCCGCGTATCCTTATGTTATCATTAAATAATGTGAAAATCATCATTTGTAGATAAAAAAATACTCTCTTACTGGGATGTAGGACTTTGAAATAGATCGTTTTGTAATGTATCTTTGCCGATTGATTGTACAATTAGTGTCGCTTAACTTTATCGACTCTTTCTGTATTATAACAGGGACAAGGCGTTTTAACCGACAGATTCACTAGGGAGAAGTCTTAAAATAACCTGTGCAAGGGCAATAGAACTGTAAAAACGTTACACAAAAGTTTCAGATAATTTTTTGCGTTGAGAAGTAATTATTGCTAAGTTCTCTGTTTGTTTTGGTTTGTTGTTACATTATGTGCCCATTGATGAAATTACTTTTTACAAATAAACATTTCTTTTTAACGCCAAAACTGTAAATTCGTTTCCTCTTCAAAACTGTTAACGGTAGGTTAATGAGATTAAGGCGTACAAAAAGACATTCTCTTATTTGAAATATGAAAATTCGAAAGTCACCTGATTTCTTCGTGCAGAATTTTCCAACTCGTGTAGAATTTCTAAAGAGGACTGTTATTGCCAGAACTGTTCATTAAAACTATGGAATGATTATGTAGAAACATTAACAGAAGTGTTAAAGAAGTTCCCTCATTTTTGGCGTCTGTCGGTCTGCCAGAAAAAGATCGTAATGCTACGTGCTATGGTTTGGTAATTTGTGAGAGGAATGCTCATCATATCTACTGTTAACAGTGCTGATAATTGAATTTAATGATTTCCAATACTGTCCGCTTTCGTCTCGATTTAATCGTTGGGGAAACTGAATGTAGTGCTCTTTTAATCTATTTTTTCCCTTTTTTTCCATACCTTCAAGATGTTTATTTTCCAGTGGACTGAGACGGAAGAGGTATCTGTTAGAATTTTCTCTGGAAAAATTGCTCACTTTTATATTTCCAAACTGGTCAAAGGGCTTCTACCTTTTTCTCTAGCGTTTCTACCTTTTCTTTCTTTCTAACCTTTGTTCTAGCATTTGTAACTTTGTTTTAGCGTTTCTAAATTTTTTCTTTTTAACTTTTGTTCTAGCGTTTCTAATTATTGTTATACCGTTCCTAACCGTACTTTCTTTCTAACCTTTGTTCTCGCTTTTCTAACTTTTTTCGCGGCAGCGTTTCTAACTTTTCCCTCTTTCTAACCTTTGTTCTAACGTTTTTAACTTTTGTTCTAGCGGTTCTGCTTTGATTCCTTTAACCGCCGGTGTCAGCTGACCACATTTCTATTTTGATTGCCAGTGAGTCCGACATTTCGTCGTCAGCGTAAGACCACTCTAAACCTTACCTCGGGTCAAATAGTACCATGCATAAGATAACTTTCTCCATCTTGCTGCGCTGCTTTTATTAAATTGGCACCACTCACCTTTTGTTAAATTGGGACAACTGCCCTTTTTTAAATATTCAGGAAAATTGCAAACCTCGAAGTCTGTCACCAAAATGCGTTTTTTTTTTCATTACTTTTATTAAATTGGGAAGAAATTTACAAGTGCACAGCTGCTATGAGATTTCATGCAGAGAACATAGATAAGGTATTGAACTCATTATTTAGTTAGAATAATTTATTTTTTCTGGAAGGACTCCCCGCACAGAGCATTCGCTAGTCAGTGCCGTTCGTCTCGTGTTCTCGAATTTGCCATTTGCCACCCACTGTTTTTGTTTAATAACTGAAGCCCGTGAAATTCACCGTTTGGGAATACTGGTGAGAGACTGAATTATTAACGGTGTGAAATCATGTATACTGTATTTCTTAGCGTACAAGGTTTATGTGAAAACGCAAAGGAGTCTCTTATTAAAGTAATTAAAACATGTGTTGTTTCCACAATTTCTACATTGTTTGTAATTAGAATAACAAAAAAGGTGCAAAGTTTCACTGTGCTTCCCAGCTTTTTGAATAATCTTTTTGAAGACCTGTTATGTAGGCGTTTGGACATGAATTGTTGTAGGTTAAGGGTGATCAGGCTAACGAAGCAGACAGTTTTGTTAACCTCGTTTGTCATTTAGAAAGCCTCCAGCTTACGAAAATCTACAAAGCTTTTCTGTCACGAATGTTTTATAAAATTGATAATTTAAAAAATTACAAAGCTGAAGTTTTTTTAAGCGAAGAAGGGCTAGCACTCGACACGTCAGCTTTTTAATCTTTTTACCGGAAAAAATGACTTTATTGATTCCGTTGATTAAAAGTTTTGTATTTGACTCTCCCGCCATTGCAGCTAAGAGCTTCATTTTTCCGTCACGAGTCTATTTGCGATGGAGGGAACTCGTTGTAAGATCACATCACCGAGACTTTAAGAGATCTTCACTGACTTCCTGTTGAGGAGAGAATTGTTTTTAAAATAAATTTAATAACTTTTAAAACAGTGAATGACTCCGGTTGCCGTTAACTTGAAGATATTTTAAATTTTTACCATCAATCAAGGACATCACGGTCATCAAGGGACCATTTACGCCTTGAAGAACCAAATTTTAACATGAAAACTTATGGCCAGCTAGCGTTTTCTGTTGTTGCCCCCCGACTATGGAACAAGCTCCCCTTTGAAATTCGAGCTTGTTCTGATGTTAATCTTTTTAAATCTAAGTTGAAAACGTTTCTTTTTAAAAAGGTATATGACATTTAGTTTCATCATATTTGTTTTCTTTCCTTTTTAAGATGTGTATGCTATACATTTCCCAATATGTACAGTAGTGTTATATGTAAGCTTGTGATTAATGATATTCTTGTGTCCTTTTTTACATTGTAAAGCGCTTAGAACAGTGATGTATAAGCGCTATATAAATTCCATTATTATTATTATTATTATTATTATTATTATTATTATTAACTTAGCAAGCGAATAAACTGTTAGGTAAAGAGTGCTGATCCTAACGCAGGGATGTTCTTAGGTAGATTATATGCGTCATTTTGGGGTATCTTTATCTTCAAGTCTTTCTCATTTCTACCTGCCGCGCCCAAGAGTTCTACTTTCTCTAATGATAAAGAGTTTGTTTAGTCGCACCTTCACAATGATGGGCTTAATCCTTGTACAAATTTCTCTCACTCAGATTGAGACTCAGTTGCATATATCGCTCTTCTTATTCCTCACGATTTTGTAAATTTTATATATATATATATGGACACCTCTAGTAATTAAATCATTTTGTATATCAGCTTATGTCGTTCCCATTCACGATGTATTTGGCTTAGACAGTTTTGATGTTTTGACAATATGAGTGGTCATTTGTTTGCTTGGGCCTTTTTCCTTACATTATATAATGCACGTGAACATGTTATTGTAGTTTCTGTCTCTTACCAAACTGGTATTGATAGACCTAAATACACACTTTGCTGTTTAAAAAAGCTTCAACCTTAATGTAACTCTTTGAATATAAAGCGTAAAGGTAATCGTAAATTTACCCACAGGCTAAGGGCTTCAATATGACACCATCAGTCAAAAAGATTTTAAACAATGGATCCAGATACAAACAAATAAAAGATAGAAATATAGCCCACTGCTCAAGTACGTTTCCCTCCTTCACCGTTTCGCCAGTAGAACTCAGTGAACTAGCGGTAGGTTTTTGGTGCGATAATTGAACTGTTTTACCAATACTACAGTCTTCTTTTGAAGAAAATTTCTTTTTGAGGGGATGAAGAGGCTGATAAACCGAGGCGAATGGCAGAATAGACAAAATATTGTTTCAAGCTTTGTGACTTAATGTTTGGCTGGTCTGCTTTCTCATCAACATTGCTCCGACAAGTTAAGAACAACAAGCCTTGCACCTTAATAAAACTGGACTGTTACATTCTTACCTCTCACCTTTCACATTGATTTTCTGTGTAATGATAAAAAATACTTAACGTGCAGTGTGACGAAGAGTCAGAAAATCTTGTTAGAATCTCATTTGCTGAGAGGATGATCCAAAAAAATTAAGAAGCCTTTAAAAATTTTACATCGTTGACAAGTACTTTGTGCTTATGAATGTTGTCAATTATGAAGATACACCGTCAACATTCTTTTCAATTAGGAAGAGCTTCCTAAGAAACAAACCCAAATAATGAATATAAATATTAATCTGAGTCCAGAAATAATTAACAAAGCAAAAGTACTTTGTAATATAAAACAATAGCAAAGCGGTTTTTGTTCAATTTATGAGCGAAAAAAATACCGACAAAAATAGTGACAATCTCAAAGATAGCAATAAAAGAAAAGCGTAAGTCCAGTTTTAGCAGTTTTTGTTAATTTTACTTTTCGTGTTTTAATGTGACAGCCCCTGGAAAGTACAGTATAGTAAACCAGGCAAGAAAGTTAATGGAAGAAAAAAATATTTATATATTTCTCACGCTATCAATGTCATTCCCCACACGTACTTCGGTGTAATTGAATAAACGGGCTTTTTAATTTCTAAACGAACACTTTGTTGGATGAGTTGAGGCTCCATGTGGATTTCTTTGGAGAAACCTGAGGAGCTTTAGAAAGAGCAGAACTGACCTAAATTTTTGGTATCGCAGATAATGTTAGACCTTCTTATTTTAAGTAGCTTTTTCAAGTATGTTTTGAAGGAAAACAACGAAAAAACAGGAACCGCCGAAGTGAAGAAAATTTAGGCGAACCTGTTTACAGCATATACGCTGATTTAAATGAGCATAACGACGAAAGGCCATCACTCAACTAAAACTTTGAGAACGATATTCTTGATTTTTTAAAAAGATTTGAAACACTTTTTTTAATTTGAAATTATTTTAAAGGAAGCTGTGGTTTATTACGATTTTTGCCAAACACCTAGTTTACATTTTTTGATATCTGACATTTCTCTAAACATCACATGCAAGGCCCTACAACTCATCGATTAGTTTCGAATTTATAGCAACGGATGCGTTTACTACGAACATGTAGTACACTTTTGCGACAAAATGTAAACAGTAAGTAGGGAACAGGTCGCGTTTGCAAGTGAAAGAAAATACCGAAGGATCTATTCCTATGATCTTGTTGTTGTTGTTTAATTTCTGGGTAGCATAAGTAGGGGAAGCAGCAAGGAAATATATTATGACAAATTTACTTCCTGAGAAATAAATGAGCCTCCCAAGAAATGCTAGTTTTATTTAAATGCAAATCAGTGCCGTACTAATTTCAACCCGATTTCAGCATATTACGTTAAGAGAACTGTTGCGGGTAACATGTAACGTGTTGGGAGTTTATAGATTATATTCTTAAGGTTTGTAAGGTGAAAGATTAGAGCGCAATTACCACTGTATGACCCCTATCTCTCGTGGCAGAAAAGATTTCCTAATGCGTGTTTTTGACTTGAAATAAAACAAGACACGAGTTGATGACTAATAACGAACATACTTTAATTTCTTTTGGCAAGAATAGAAACCCTAACCAACCAGAACACTTCTGCGCCTTGTCTCATAAGGGGCCTTATCACCTCGTTTTCCAATGGTGCCTTCCATTGGAGCAATGCGATGTATAGTGGAACAGTCACCGAGAGTTTTCCTTTCATTGTTTGGTCGAGGGTCATTGCAATCGTCAGCCATAGCCTCTGTTGGGTTATTATCTAGCTGATCTTCTTCAAGATTGGCAACAATAACTACACTGTCCTGCAAGCCATCGAATAAGGCAGGAATTTTGATATTTTTCCATTCAAAATACTAATTTCCTCCCGAAAACTGAAGAGAGGAAGAGCCAAGCCGAGACCGAGACAGCATGAAACGAACACTGGGGCTTTTAACGCTATTCCTTGATGTATTTGTAAACATGCATTATGTACCGAACTGAGGAAATAAATTCAAAGGTATAACCAATCAAATGATATTGCGTACGACGTGAACAGACCAATAAACCGGTTTGATCAACATGTAGCTCAAAAGCTCTGAATACGTTGATTTACTATAATCACAAAAGTGAACTTATCAGCGAGTGACTGTAACACACTGCTTTAAATTTGAAGTGCATATAAGTTGCTAAAAGTTTCAGTGTTAGAACTATACTAACAAACAAAAAGTCAACCCACGAAAAAGGAACGACAAAAGTGGTTAATGAGAATAAGGACCTGTTTACATGGAGGTGGGGGACCCCAGGTAGGTGAGGTAACCCCCCTGTCCATAAAATCTCCCATTTTATTTTGATCACGTTTACATGATAGGTGGGGTGACCCGCGACATGTTACCTCACCTATCTGGGGTCCCCCACCTCCATTTAAACAGGCCCTAAGAGTAGAGTTGTGTCTTTTCCCAAATAACCTGTAAATTAGCCTTTTGTTAAATACTGCCACCGTTTCTATAGTTTTATATATCACGTCTATTAGTTGTCTTGGCTATTGTATTAATGGTTTGTATTCATATATCAATTTAACTATCTCAGACGTACTTCCTTCTTTCCTCTCCTCTGTTTTTCTCGTTTTTACACCTATTTTGCCGAAAAAGCACCAAATTAAAAATTTGTAATTTTTGACCAATATGATCGGTTAAACCCTTTCGAAAATACCCATTTCTCGACCATTCAAAAATAAATGTTTTTAAAGTCTAAAACGTCTTATTTTCTGTATAAAATGTTTTCAAACACTTTTTCTTGACGTATTTTGCCGAAAAATAAAAGAATCTATAAATGTAGCATTTTTGGAGAAAATTGGGGTAAACCTCTCTGAAAAATACCTATTCACGACCATTAAAAACTCGGTATTTTTCATAGCCTAAAAAGTCTTGTTTGGTATATAGATCATTAAGAAACACTTTTTGTTGATATATTTTCCACTTGGGTTTCGGAATCCCGTATTTCTTCAAATAAGCGCCCTCCCCAAAATAAGCGCCAACACCCAAGGCCATAATATCAAAAAAAGACGTTGTCTCTTCTTTTAATGTTTTACCTACAGCCGCGCTCTTAGTAAACGCCGTAAATTTCTAAGGAACGACTAGATCATTTGCTAGTTTGTTTAAAGGAAAGCGTAATAAGCGCTCCCCTCGATTAAGCGCCCTCCTTCCAATAAGCGCCTGGGCACTTATTCCAGGAAATACGGTATACCCCCGCACTGAGTGTAGGCTAGCAAAAAGCGTAGGCGAATGACATTCAAAGTAAATTATAATTGCAACATGGAAAACTACAATCTCACCCGACCAAAATTAAAATGTCGTATTTACTCAAAGAAGCACTCCAATTAAGCTACTCCTTCGAATAAGCGCCGCATTTTGGACATATGAGTTTATAAGCTATGCACCTGAATAAGCACTGCTGTCTGTTCCTGTTTTAAGATTCTGTAAGTTTAATACAGAATATAAAAATGTCTTGTGAAAACAATTATTTTTCCCGTCCGTCTTTCAAATAATAGTCGCCTCCATAATAGTCTGCTACACAGCCATTTTTAGTGTCGTCACGCAACGCTCCTCCCCACAAAGAAGAGGGAATGAGCGTTGCGTGACGACGCTAAAACGGTTGTGTAGCAGACTACCACATTCCATTCTCTTATCAAAACTGAATCATTACGGAGTGAGAGGTAAAGCCTATGACTGGTTTCAATCGTATCTGTCCAATAGAGAACAATTTGTTTACTGCTTAGTTTTCACTTATTTGCTGATGACAGTGTATATATTGTTCACGTAAAAACCTTTTAAAATTATCTTGAACTAATCCTAAATCAAGAGCTCCATGCAGTGGAGCATGTCTGTTTACCGTAATTGACGCCGCAAATTCGAAATTCTAATTACGTCCAGAAAAAAAATAAAATAAAAAAACAAACAAATACAAAAGAAAGAAAGAAAACCATCAGAGCGAACAAGCGCTCATTATTTGGGCCGTAGATCTTTTATAGATCCGATATGCCGTAATTTTTGCATGGTTTTGTCCATGTGTTTAAGGTTGGTTTTGGCCAACTATTTATTTTCTCTGCGAGACATCAACTTGACACTTGGACTCTTGCCCCCCAGAACACACGTGGTATATCAGAGTGCGCGGATATTTTGCACCAGAGCTTTCTGGTTATTACGCCATACTGACGAGCACCAACGAGGGCGAAACAGCTGTCTATGACTACAATCCCGCTCTGTTTTGAGTTCTTTCGGTGTCGTGTTGATGTCTTGCATAGTTAATTTTCACGTAGTACGATCAGCATTGCAGTATTCTGCTTGCAGAATTTAATATGTCTACTTTTCATTTTTGCTGATCAGGTCTTTATAGATCCTACGTTTTCCGGCATATTTCGTTTGCGGTCCTTTGCAGTCCTTTGTGGTTAATGTTTGTACATTATTTCTTGCCTTTTCTGTCATTACAGTCCATGTATTTCAGTAGTTTGTGTCAAACCGACCCCGCTAAAAGTTTATCCCCATTTATTAATGGCATTTTTTTTCAAATTTGAGCCGCTAAAAAGTTAGAAAATCTATTTTTTTTAGCAGCACATGCACCCAGCGGGCCCCTATTTTTCCGCAGAAAAAGGAGGCCGCGCATTGTTGACGTTTTGGGACACTGGGAACTAACACTCATTCAAAGATGGCGCGCATAAGGCATGGTTGTTTTTCTTCCGAATTTCATCTACTTTGCAAGGTTAGTAGCGATTATAGATAGATCAGACAGAAATAACAATATTATTTATCTTTTTAAACAGTTTTAGAAGTGCTTGTGGTAATGGTTTACTTTGCATTTGGTAAGATCTTGACCCTCACTCTCGAAGCTCATAGGCTTATGCACAAGTCTTTCAATAGTTCAATCTTCCCAGTCGGAGGGTTTTCAACGCTTTGATTTTCAAGGGCAAATCGGTCCGTGTCCGACAACGTATGAAGGTTTTATTTGCAATCGGCCTTTATGAAAGTCTTATCAAAGGTTTATCAAAGGTGCAATGTAGCAAATCGCCACTTCCACATTTCCCACAATGCACTTTATTTGCCCCACAAAATTGTGCACAACCATTGTTTTAAATTTCTCTTGAGACGGCTGTAATACTTAGAATAAATGAACAAAAAAAGGTTTTGCAAAATTTTGGGGGCAAATGGGTTGAAATATGGGAAACGTGGAAGTGGGGTATGCTTAGTAGCTTTGACTTGGGGGTGGGGGGTGGTTGGATGAAATTTTGAGATTTTGTGAGATGAAGTTGATGATACGAACTAGAAGGGAGATCTGCATCATTCATTTTTCCCGCTCTCTCTAAGGGTAGCATGGGGAGGGAGGGGTAGTGGTTGGAGGGTTTCATCTAAGGGGACTTATAACTGGACTGGAAAAAAGGCCTCCAAGGGATTGTTAAGCTTAGCAGTGCTGATCCAAATATGTTTTGTATTTAATGTCTCTTTTAAAGCCTCGAAATGTCATTTTAATAAGTCAATATTAATTTCAAAAAGGTGGGTTTTTTAATGAGGTTGTGGGGAGCTTATCTGGATAGAAAGGAAAAAAGCCCTTCAAGTAATTTTACCTACCTACTGCAGTGCAGATCAAAATATGTTTTGCATTGATTGTCTTTTTAATCAAACCTCAAAATGTCATTTTTATAAATAGATTACTGAATTTCAATACATTTGGAGGTGGATTTATATCTGGGGGTGGGCTTATAATCTGATGTATTTTTTGTTTACAGGTAGATAGGTATATAACTGGGGAGCTTATAAGTGTGTAGGGGTGGGGGAGGGGTTACAGTATTTGTATTTTTTAGAGTTTTTATCAATTTCAGAAGTCTGGGACCTTTGTTTCCTGGATTTCATAGTTTTGGAGTCTAAGGGTTCTTTTTTCCATGACTTTGCAAATGAACAGCATTTCTGGGATTATGGTACATTTCAAAGGGGATTATTCTACATTTCGCGGAAACTGCCCACCTACCCCTCCCCTAAGTTCAAGTGAAAAGAAAGTGTTAAAGGGTCATAATACTGTTGTCTTTTAGTATATGAAAGTACTGCCTACTTTGAAAGATCTTCCAAAGTACTAATCTTAAAATAAAGCTATATCCAAAATACCATAAAATTCCGAAAATAAGCCCCCAGGCTTATATTTTTTAAAGACCCTTTTTGAGGGGCTTATATATGGAGGGAAGTTTGCATTTCAGTGTCAGCTAGGTTGACATAGCTCATAGTTGGAAGAAAGTTTATGTCAGTAATTTGCAGAAAGTTTTTACTGAAACTCTCCATAAGGATTTAGACATTTCCAAAATGCAGCCATAGAAGTACTATGTCTATACTATGTCTGTATGCACCAAGAAATCAAAGCCAAGAGTGAAGAGGAACTAGGCAAACAGCAATAAACTGTGACACATTCTAACTGCAATCATTCAGCACCATAATAGTACTTTGGGCAAATGCAAAATTTTTTTGTTATTTGAGGGCAATTACCAAGTACAAGCCCGCGGGGGCTTTTCTTTGGAGGGGCGATTTAACGGAGGGTTTTTGCATTACAATAAATTATTTTGGGAGCTTACATTTGGTGGGTCTTATAGTAACATGGAGGGGCTTATTTTTGGAATTATACGGTACCACTAATTTTTGGGGGTCTTTGTGTTCAATATTTGAGTCAAAGGCACCTTAAGGACACTTCCATAGTTCAATTATTGACCGGCGGACTGACTGAATGTGTTGCTAATAGACTGACCGGCTGGCTGATGTACTGAGATCCATGCTAAGAAAATGCATGCATTTTACAGCAAGGAGCCTAAACGTGTGACTGCTTTTGATTTATTCACATTCTTTTGTGCAGATTTAATCCAATCAGAAGCTAACTGGAAACTGTTCTTGACTTCTGATTGGTTAATTTCTGCATAATAGAATGTGAATTAATTAAAGGAGATCACACTTTTGGTTTCCTTGCTGTAGTGACTTCATGATGTGAATCAAAATTACTGCAATTGATGATGAAAATGACTGATTTTTCATTTCAGATCAGATGTGTCCAGCAGATGTGTCAAGACTTCAGCAGCTAGGATTTTGAACGCATCTTCTGTACTGTAAGTACTATATAGATTGCTTTGTAATCCAGCTATTGAGTGAACCAGATAAACTGAACTCATGCAGCTTATTTGAAGCAAGATTGACGTACAGTTTCATCAGCTTTTTGGTGGCTATACCTGGCCTAATTTCACACAAATTCAAAACTGTTTCAAATTTAATGTCACTGTAAAATTAGAGATACATGTCTAAATATAATTGATAAGTGAAAGATAAACACTACTTGAGTGACTTGACTTCTTCAGGATGTTTATATTTGGCAGCTGTTTCTTGTTTACTACTGAGAAGACAGAGATTCAACAAAACTCAAAGGAAGAATATAAAACAGTTTTAAAATATTTTAAAATGCATTTATTGAAGTCAAAGGAATGTTTGTTTTGATCTTTTAATGAATGACAGCTAAATGCTCTAGAACAGTTTGAGGTTAAAGTGTACAGGTTTTTTCTTGAACAAGTAGTGCATGTGTAAATGGGACTTAAAAAATTGTTCATTTTTGAACTCATTTAGAAATTATTTTGAATTATTGACTGATGGCATTAAGCACTTTGGGTTTTTTCTTTCTTGCTTAATAGTTTGAAAGAATCACATGCACACGGTTAATATGAAATCTTAAAACTAAAGTTTTTGCTGACAAATGTCAATTCATATGCGATCTGCTTCAAACGAGCTGTGCTAAAATGTTGGTATAATAATGCAAAGTTCTTGTTTTAGTCATTTATTATAGTTCTGCAATCTGTATGATGCGATTTGTGTGGACTGATTTATTGACTGATTGACTGTTTTCTTGAATGAGTGATCCTTAGGTAATCGACCAACTGACTAAATGAGTGACTGACTGACTAATTCACCTTCTGAGCGTTAGTTTTCACATGTAGTTTCATGTGACTTTTGATTACCGTTGTTGTAAATAAACGCGGAAAGTTCGGACATCTGTTCTCTCCCACATACTGTACTTGTACAAGCTACAAGTCGCTTTACAAGAATTTGCATTAACCTTTCGCTGTTTAAAAATCGAATAGTTTAAGGTTCAAAATGTCAAAGCAGAAGATCAGGAGTGACTTTGGCCGGCTTGAGTATGGTAAAACAGAAAGAATAGTTGCCGAAATTATTCCCGAATATGGAGTTTCAACAAGTGCATGGAAATCTCCTCTGCAGTTGAGGGAATGGTTTTGGCCAGTGGATCTAAACTTGGAAAAAATGAAACTAATGATGCAGACACACTTACCGGGTATAATTCATGATACTGCAATGTGCTTACATTTTCACCTCGACTGCCTTTTATACACTTTAATATAAGCTTAAGTGCTTATCTTGCCTGAAGTATACTGCCTCTGTTTGTCTCTATACGTTTAAATACAAAGCCAGTACATGTTCACAGAAGCCTGCACTTTTTTGCTACACATATGTGAACAGCCTATTGATTCAACTTAGCAGTTAGTAAATGGTCATCAAAAGTGTTGAGGCCCTGTTTGCCATAAAAAAACAGTTGAAAATATGATGTCAAATGACCCATGGCCAAACCGTCTTTATGGCAAAAATGTATTGGAAATTAATAGTGTGTGGTCGTGAATTTTGAGTTTAAATTATGTATGTATTGTGAAATTTGCCTACATCACCAGTTTTATCTCTTTCGAAGTTTAGTTCTAATGTTAAAACCATTTCAGCTGCTGTGGCAGGAATTTCCACTACAAGTGCTGAAGTCCTCATTCCTGCAGGTCTGCCATGCCCTTGACATTAAAATCGCTCTTATTCTTCTACTTAGACATTTTTGAACCTTAAACTAACTGAGTTTCAAACAGCAAAAGGGAAATAGAATTTATGAATTAACGCGAACTTAGACTGACTCATTGCTGACTTGCCAGTTGTTGACGGACTTACTTACGGAATGAGTGACTCACAGATGACTAACAAACTGGAAAACTGATTGACTGCATGTTAGCTGACTTGCTTTACTGACTGACTGGATGGGTTTCTTGCAGATTGAGTGTCTGTCAATTTGACTAGCTTTCTGATAGATTGGCTTATTGACTGAGTGACTGGATGACATGTAGACTGACTGACCTGCTGACTGACTGACTTGTTAACATTGACTTGTTGAGTAACTGATTAATTTATGCACCTACTGACTAGTTAACGGACTGGCTGTCTTACTGACCAAGCAACATACTGACTAACTGAGTGGCTATAGCTACGTGCAGACTGGCAGACTAGCAGATCAACTAAGTAGCAGTTACTAAGTGACTGATTGAGCAACTGACTTACATGTACCAACTAACTGACTGACTTACAAACTGTGCAACTGATCTTCTGGCTGACTGACTTAGGACTAACTGAGAAACTAGCTAATTGACTGTCTGACATACAAACTGAGTGACTGACTGACTGATTGAGCAACTGACTTACCTGTATGAACTAACTGACTGACTTACAAACTCACAATCTGAGCAACTGACCTTCTGACTGACTGACTTAGGACTAACTGAGAAACTAGCTAATTGACTGTCTGACATACAAACTGAGCGACTGACTGACTGATTGAGCAACTGACTTACCTGTATGAACTAACTGACTGACTTACAAACTCACAATCTGAGCAACTGACCTTCTAACTGACTGACTCAGAACTAACCAAGCAACTGCCTTACTAACTGAGAAACTACAATCAGCGACAAAATTGTTGAGACATTGTACTCAAATAGGGTAACTTCAGAGAACAAAAGAATCCACACCCCTTCCCTGTCCTCTCCATTCAAAGTTGGGGTGTTTTTTGTTTTCTATAGGTAGCTTGAACATCGGCACTACGTTGCATGGAGGGGTTGGGCCTGGAGGAAAATTTATATTTCCTCCTTTTGAAGTCAGTAAAAGGTAAAAAAGCCCAGTTTAGGGCAAAGTGTCTTAACTCATTTTGTCGCTGATTGTAGCTAAGTGACCGTCTGAAAATAAACTGACCAAATGATTTACTGACAAACTGAGTAATTTTCTTACTAACTAATCAGCTGACGTAATAACTGAGCAACTCAGTACTGGCTAACTGTCTAACTGACTGACTGACTGAGAAAATTAGTTACTGGCTAACTTTTTGACTTATTGAATGACTGAGTAACTGAGTCACTGGCTGATTGTTTGATGACTGACTGACTGACTGACTGACAGAATGACTGAATAACTGAGGGAATGACTGACTGATTGAACACCTTACCAAGTGTCTGACTAACTTCAAGCAACTGACTAGCTGACGGAGCTGAAAAAGTTACTGACTAGCTGACTGGCTACCTGACAGACAGAATGACTAACTGACTGACAGATCAACTGACTGAGTGACTGGCTAGGTAAGGCAAGGGGGCGGGGTACTGTTATCAAAGGAGGAGTGCCTTTTGCTAGTACAGTCAAGGGGTTAGTTATAATTTATTATAATTATATGTGGTAAATTTTTCCAACATGTTTGCTCACTGGTATTCATGAAAATGTGATGCAGTCAAACCTTGTTAATAATGGGTACTATGTGGACCATATTAACAAGTTGTCTGTATTGAGCAGGTTGAATTTAGAGAGAGATTAAGGGCTTTCTTTCCCTAGGGACAAAGCAAACTGTCTGTAATAATAAGCTTTCCAAACTAAGCAGGCGTCTGTAAAGCAAGGTTTGACTTGAATGGGAAATTAGACTATTCTGAAAATAAGTGATGAGCTTCATTGTTTCCAGATCAGATGCCACAGAAAGACTGAACAAGGACCTTCATGAGCCAAGAGCCTCTGTTATCTTCAATACTGTAAGTGCTGTATGGTTTGTATTTTAATCCAGGGCTTCAATAATAAGAAAACATATGGGTAGAACTAAAAGTTTCATTAAGCTATACCACGTACCTTAAATTGTTTCATTTGACAGTTGTTTCACTATCTAGTTTACCACAGTTGGGAGCTAGGAATTTTATCGATCTTACTTTTTTCAAAAAAACAGAAAAATTGAGAACGTTTTGTAAATAAAATCCAAAATTTCAGAGAATAATTTCAAAATAAATAAAACCAACCTGTAATTCCCAGTAACCCTGTAACCACTAGTAGCCCCCTTAACCAGCTGTAACCACCTGTAACCTCTTGTATTCTCTTGTAACCCCCTGGAACCCCTCATAACCCCACATGACCCCTTTTAAACCCCCTCTAATTCCCTGGAACCCCTCATAACCCCTTGTAATTCCTTGTTATACACGTGAACTAGTTGTTGCCTAGCACGTGACTGCAGCTATTGTGATGAAAAATTACGCGAGTGGATTGTATTGCACGATACTAAAAATTGTTTTCAAAGCTTTTTCAAACTGTATATGAAATGACATAATCAGAAAGTTGTAAGAATCATAAATTGGTTGTCATTTATTACACCAACAAGCTACTATCTTGTTTAACAAATTGTTTTAAACTAACAAAAGCGCTCTACATTTGCATAATTGTGCTCAATTTCATCGATTTTATCTCAGTCATCCTTGTCACCACAGTAATCCCATTCATCACAGTCATCCTAGCCATCCAATTCATACCAGTCATTCTGGTCATCCCAGTCATCCAAGTCATCCTTGTCATCCCAGTAATCCCATTCCTCACAGTCATCCTAGCCATCCGGTAGACCATGTTCGCTACATTAAAATTCATACTTGGCTCCAAGGCTTGGGGGAATAAAACAAAAGAAATGTATTATTCATTGCTGGGCCTCAAGATGATTTCTTTTGTTTTATTCCCCCAAGCCTCGGAGCCAAGAGTGAATTTTAATATAATATTACCAATGGGTCTATTCATACCAGTCATCCTAGTCATCTAAGTCATCCTTAGTAGTCATCCCAGTTGTCCCAGTCACCCTATTCGTCCAATTCATCTCCGTCATCCCAGTAATCCTAGTCATTCTAGTTATCCCAGTCATACTAGTAATACCAGTCATCCTACTGTTTTCGTAACGGGAGTTTGTGGAAAGCTGGGCTAGCCGAGATTTTGAAGAAAAACAACTTTAACAAACTAGGTATACCTATCGATAGAGTGCCAACGAGCAAATCATGCGTATTTTGCTTACGAATAAAATTCCTTTTTTCCCCATTTGATCGTTTCTTGGTCCCTTCCTTTTGCAAGGATTATTTTCTTGAAAAGGTTTTATGCATGTAACACTTTATGAGGTTGCGGAGAAGAGTCAGTTCTCACATTCAGTCTGGTAGCTTTACAAACCTGCTATGTAAAAGTGTGAAGTGTGTTGAAAGAATAAAAGCAGCTTTGCAGAGGAAGCGATCGGGAATATTATTAAGTCCAGCTACAAATCTACTGTCGGTTCGGTTTCACATTGCAGATAAATATTTGCACAGTTTAATCATTTAAACCTCCTTTCAAATTTCCCGAGGCTTTTTGTTACCCGAATAAAACTTAGCATGATTCGCTTCGCTATCTGAAATTTTTCCAAGGACATGCGATGTACGGCACCTCGGTATTTTAGTTCATTTTTTTATACTGAACTCGGCCAGGTTTCGAAAAAATGGCGTTGTTTTCTTTTCCTTTGTCGTTTGTTTTAGGCTTGTAATTCCTTTTTTTCTCATTTTTTTGTTTGCTGGTTAGATTTTCTCCCCAACACCAGATTTTCCAACAGAAGCGACTGTATTCTTCATGTCAAGCTTTCCTTATCTCCCAGTGTAATATTACCCTTATTACCCTAGAAGAACTCTTTCGCTGTTTTACAAACTTCTCTTTAAATCTTAGCATTGTAGCCCCTAAAATTAATACAATATATCAAGTGCCCATGTTTCTTGACTGCAGTGGCCAGGTTTGACGAATAAATTTAAGTAAATAAACACAGGAAGTCGCGACGGCGGGAATTGTGTGAAATTTTGTATTTTAAAAAGCCTACCACATTCAACTTGAGCCCGTGCGCCAGGTACTGCCCTTTGATTGGTTGACAACTGACCACTTGGTCTGAGGGGAATCTACATTACATGAGGTTACGGGTTACAATTTTTTCCACTCGATCGAGAATTTTTCTGCCTATCAACCCAGTCTTGCGCAGTTCTATTCTGCTGCCGCCTTGGCAATGATAGTCTTAGTGAATGGGGATGTTGTGTATGAATCAACGAAAAGTCCAAACAATTTTTGGGGGGCCAAAAACGCATGCGTCTGTGAAGAAGTGTACCGTAAGTGAGCGAAATGAGTTTTCGATCTAAATATATAGGTCGGTTTTCTAAGGCAAAGTTAGGTTGATTATTTCCGGTGGGATTATAGGGCGGTGAGAGATGGCCAACTCTCTGAAGCCTGCTTGACTAATCCGTGCGGAAAACGACTTACCGGGGGGGACTGTCGAGCTTGCTGACGGTCACCAAACTCCGGCCCAGCAAGTGCAGGGAGGTGCTCGAACTATTAACTCGGTCCCAGAGGTTAAACGGGAACCTCGGCACCAGAGGTTAAACGGTTACCTCCGTCCCAGAGGTTAAATGGGAAAAAAATGGCCCCCAGAGCTGCCTCCCTGACGGGGTTTTTGCTATTTTTTGTGACGTGTCACGCTGCAAGAGATGTAGCGCAATGTCACGCAATATGTATTTTTTTTACCCGGGGGACTCACATATGAAAGGGGCGGGGATGCTCGTCGGAAATTTTGAAAAACCCCTAAAAAAAACCTGGGCGTTGGCCAACCTTTTTTTGAGCCCTGAAAGAGACCATTTTGTTACAATGTTGTTTAGTTATTGATGTTATAAAAATCTTTGATCACATGAATTAAGTAAATAACACGAACTGACTATTAAATATTTATCTTGGCGTGCAACCCTAAAAGAGACCTTTACGGCTTAATATAATGACGTTTTGCTCAGAGCACCCTAAGTGAGACCAAAATCCGAAATGTGCACCCCTAAGCGAGACGACGAGCATCCCCGCCCCTTTCATATAGGAGTTCTTCCCCACCCCCCACACCCATCCGCGTTTACAAGCAACAGCATGTGTATTTTGTAACGTCAAACGATTCTGGGCTTATCCTGTTGCTTGGCTTGATAAAGATCAGCTGTAACATACACGTCTGTCCGTAACATGACTAATCTTTTGCTCAGAAATTGCTTTCGTAATCCTTTAATGGTTTAAATTCTACTAGGAAATTTAGCGCGTTCTTTAATTTTAGAGGCCTTTGAGAGTCTCTCTTGTTTCTTCCGCGATGGAACATGATACGCGTGAACTTTTTCTGTTGCCTAGCACGTGAGTGCAACTACTGTGATGAAAACTTGCGCGATGTTAATTTCAAAAGCGGATTGTATTGCACGAGATAAAATATTGTTTTCAAAGCTCCTGGACGTTTCTGAAGTTTTCGAAACTTTATGTACGCAGTCACGTCTCATGAAAAACAAAGAGCGAAATATCAAAGGGGGATGCTATCACATATCGCGAAAACAGCAATTCTATTCAAGAGGTCAAATTACAAAGTAAAGTTGCCAGCGAAAAAACCGTTGACACCGATAATCAACTGCGATAATGCCGATGGACATTCACAAACACCCGGAGTAGCAATCGATAAAAATCGGTATCGATTTATCAATCGATAGATCAATAAAAAGCTGTAAATCTGATTTGATTGATATCGATTGTATCTATCAATCGGTAGAAATCGATGACACACTCGTTTCGTTCATCGATTTATCTAGATTTTACCGATTCCATCGATTTGTATCGATTTGTCTTTTCACAGGTGTACTATATAACTTATGCCAAAAAGCAATAATGTCAGACTTACCGTTATAAATGGTTAAAATCATGAAAAATCGATAGTATCGATTTGACACAGCAATTTGGTTTATCGATTTTCACCGATTTCCGTTATCAATCGATAAAAATCACTTGATTGCTATCGATTTTTATGGATAACGATTTTTATCGATTGACTACTGCGGGACAAACAGGCAATCGAAAAAACATCGGCGAGTAAAATTCGAAAGCAACGAGAAGCGCCTTGAGACTTTGTTTACACACCGTCGCGTATTTAACATTTATTTACACAAGGTTCCTTTTACATGTATTTTGGATTGTACCGATAACAAGACGCCTAAAGTTGTTCCCGTGGGATGCATTGGACTATGGAAGCATCATTGATATCTGTCTGAATTTGGCAAAATAAAGGATATCGGAAAGATATAGGTAATAAAGTTCCAAAGTTTTAATCCGAGGAGAAAGTTAATATTCCAAGAAGCTCTTGATCCGGTTAAAAATTAAATTGCAATGTGTTTCCAAGGTCTCTCAAAGTTAAAAAAATGACAACGGTTATCCACGATTCCGAGGTATAATACGTTCACTAAGGTCCGGATCTGTGTCCCATCCTAAAGTCCAATTCATGTCGAAAGCGAATCGTCGATAGACGAGGACAATATTTTGGCGATTTCACCCCCAATCGTCAAGGGTACGAGTTGAAATTTACGCGATTTACGGCAGCACTAAAACACGCAATCCGGAATCCGGAAACGGAAACGGAATCACGGAAACGGAATACGGACTCTGTGAAAGAAGGTTCTAAGCGATCGATTGGGAAAACAAATATTAGCAATGACAATAAAATAAATAAACAGATATAAAAAAAAAAGACACAAATGAATAAATTAGCTGAATAGAGGAGAGGGAGACCTGCTGTATCACTAGAGGAGTTGATTCCGGTGAAAAGACGCTTGATACCACTATCGGCAATGAATGCAAATTCTCATGGGACAGCCAAGCGAGGAGAAAAACGTTACTGACAAAAACTAGAGCCTTAGGAAAAAGGTAAGTTATATGGAGACAGACTTCGTTTGAATCGTCAGAGGCGTCGTTTATATAACTGAAAGTCGTCGCCGTCAAATTTTTCTTAGTGTCTTTTCTGGGTTGTCTTCAACAGTGTTCAGTTTTATTTCAGGGGCACCCAACGGCAATTTTCGGGAAAATATCTGTTCGGAAGACGATTTGTGAACTAGAATTTTTGGAACATTTGTTGTAAAATTTCTTGCTTGCCTGCCTCTCCTAGGATTTTCGAACATCTACAAAATGGTATAATTACCCATTTTAAACGGATATTTACCCTAAAAAAGGCCACCTAGAATTTTTTTTTTGGCTGAAATTTTCGAAAAGGTAAGTTTTGATCCCTAGAATTTTCGGATCACTAGACTTTCAGCTAGGAAATCCGAACAGATGAAAAGTTTTTAGGGGATAAAAATATGCCTATATCTATCGTTTAAATACTAAAATACGTTCAACAATGCTATGTTAAGTGGTTTTGAACTATATCCTCGTTGGGTGCCCCTGAGTCTTTTTTATCAAGACAACTTACTCAAGAGAACCATGGCTTTGTGGAGTCCAAAAAGAAGAGAGAATTGTGCATGCATTTGCTTGATTCCGCAACCAATTACATCAAATTAATGCGCCATGTTTAATAAGCCTCTTCAACAAAAATACGGATGTCCACGTAAACTCAATTACCGGTACACCAGTATTCCATCAGTATTCAGCTTGGCAAAAAAGTTGAACTTATTGCTAAAACACCAGAACTTTGGTCACGTCACGGGTCGGTCATATGTTGAGTATTCAGTTTGGGGACAATCACGTGGTGTGGTCTGAGGCTAACTACTACTAATCTTGACAATTAGCTACAAAAGTAATATTTAACTGTATTATTCAACCCATGAACTCGTGAATAAAAATTACTCGTAAAATTACTTTTATCGGCCTTGCAGTGCAGTAACCCACACTACAGCAAACCTTATCAAGACACAATAACAAGAATATATTTAGGGAACTGCCAAGAAAACTAAGACAAATTCTCTTTGGATTGTACTGAATTGTGTAATGTGAAATTCTTTAATTTTCTATCATTGATATTTGATTCTGTATTCCATTTCCGTTTCTGTTTCCGTTTCCATTTCCGGATTCTGGATTAGCATTGCTGATTTGTGTTTCAGTAACTCCAGTGACATTAAAATGAAAATCTACTTCATGCAATAGTTGATTTTGAAGATTTTCCAGGTTATGATTAAGGTCTCGGTAAAGGAAAACGAGGTGCCCACAGAAAAAAATTCTAGTCGCGCGAGTATTTTCGCTACAAAGGCAAGTTATATATCAAATTAAAGCTAAAAGACTAAATTACCTTATAAAAGATTTTATTTTATCGAATTTCAAAAGGCGCTTAAGTTTTTTGCTCTCGAACTCAGAGGTATCGAGTTTACTGCTGAAGCTCCAGCCCTTTCGCGTTGTTAAATATTCACTTCCTTTTTATTGCGTCTGATTGACAGATAAAAGACCTAAAAAAGGGTGTGAGGAAATTTGCATATGTCTTGTATTAGCGGAATTATTGCATTTCAAACTAAAAAGTCGAATCTCGAGCGCGATTTACGCAAAGAAACTGACATAAAATGAGTTACAAAGGGAAATCGGAAAATTCCTCACACCCTTTTTGAGTCTATATCATTATCCATCATATCTGAAAGTTTCAAAGCGATAGCTTAAAACCTGTCCCGACTGGAGGTCGGAGAATTTTGATTTTTGCGTCTAAAATAGAGTGAGAGAAAATCAGCTCTAAAGATTTAGCGCGAGGTCCACGCTTGGCTGGTTAGCGCAGAAAAGGCTCATTTTAGAACGGTTAAAAAGCACTTTCTGATTTTCTTTTTCTGCCAAAATAAAATTTAGGACCCACTCATGCCAAAAATCCAAAAAAAACAAAATCGAGCAATGTACTAAAATTTTCATTTACCGAGACCTTAAGGCTGACTATGTTGTTATGAAAAACAGAAAAGCCAGAGATAGTCTCATCTTTTGACAACTTCGTTTTCATCTCCTTAAAATTATGGGGGGAGAAATATCGACTAGTTATTCTCTTAGAGCAGTAATCAGCGGGGTTCAAATTATGATCGAAGGTTGTATTTAAGGAAAGCAAATCTAAGTCATATAATCTAGTAAGCTTGTCTAATTCCTTTTTAGTTTTACATGTGGTCGACACTGAATTATTAAACTGGCCATGATTTTCTTCCAAATTTTCAGAACAACTATAGTATGGTAAAACCTTCAAGGTAGATCTAATAGATTTCAGTGTAGTTTTGTTCCTGCCTTTCATAGTAATATCAGTGATAAGTACATAATAGTTAGCTGCAAGGATCCTCCAGTCGAGCTTTAGGGTGTTCACACAGTCTTAACTTAGTTAAGTCATCAATTGACCTCAGACGAATCGTCATGGAAGAATCCGTTTTGCATAGGAAGATTGCTGCGCCTTTTGTCCAGCAGCACTTGTAGTTGTATGTGTTTTAGTTCACCTTCGCTGAATGTAACAGCTCTTGTAGTCTCAGCGTGAGGTGGCTGTAAATTGCAATCCGATTAATTTCAGCAGTGGATGGGAGATCCAGGTCCTCGGTAGTTAGTCGACTGGCATTACCTCTCGACGTCAGCACTGTGTCTCGTGTCATCCTTCTAGTGAATTGGTAACTGTAGTAGAGCATCTCGTTGATAGCTATATCAATTCTGTCAACGTTAACTGTCAATAAATCCAACCTACAAGAAAAATTTTCCAGAGATTTTGACAAGCTCGATTCTGACTTAACAAGGGCATCGTAGCTGTCGCTGAGGAATTGGACATCCTGTGTGTTCATTAAAGCGGCAGCTGCCGCTTCGTGGCAATCCTTCTGTTCCGCTATCTTGGACTTGATAGACTGAAATTCCTTCATCAGATCATTCAGTTGTCTCTTTAAATCATCGTTTTCTCTTCTTAACGCTTTCACTCTGTCTCCCATTAGTCAACGAAGAAAAAAAGAAACAATCTTAACTAGCCTAACAACAAATACACATATGCGAGAACATGGAGCACTAGCTGAAGCGTCCGGTTAGTCTCGCTACGCTACGCAGGCCAAATTACCTAGCTGACTGATTGACGTACTGTCTAACCGTCCTGCTAACCAACTGACTGCAGATTATAGTACTGGATTAACTGGCTGATTGACTGACTGAGGGACTGACTGACTCATTGACTGACAAAATGGCTGACTTGCCAGTTGTTGACTGACTTACTAATTTACTTACTGAATGACTGACTCACAGGTGACTGACAAACGGGAAAACTGATTGACTGCATGATTAGCTAACTTGCTTTACTGACTGATTGGATGGCTTTGTTGCAAATTGAGTGGCTGTCGATTTGACTAGCTTACCAATGGATTGGCTGATTGACTGACTGACAAGCTGACGTGTTGACTGACTGACTCATTAATATTGACTTGTTGAGTAACTGATTGATTTATGCACCTACTGACTAGTTAACGGACTTGCTGACTTACTGACTGACTTGCTATAGCTACCTGACTGACAGACTGACAAATCAACTAAGTAACCGCAAGCCCTAGGATTTCAAATCCCATGGATAACAATTTTTCAGTTTCATGCCCAGAGATCATGGGAAACTATCGGCAACAATTTTTTGGTTCCATGAAAATTCATGGGAGCCCACTTCATTTCTTTTAATGTACATGCAGAAACAGTTTTCTGGAAACATGTTGTTTAAATTAAAATTAAAGAACATTAGTGTGTACTCTTATTTACAAAAAACTTCAATGTCTATTATTAAAATGTGAGAAGAAGGTCAATTTAAGAGTAACATGTGTATGCACTAAACTGTCTAAAACTCAAGACTCCTCTTTGATCCAACTAAAGGAGTGAGTATACTCACTTGAAATATTAGCCATATCTTGTCTTTTCCTAAAGAGATTCGGGCCTGTTCATCAGTTTCACAGTGAAATTGTCACTAAAAGACGACATTCTAATAATGTTTTTAAACTTTTGGAGTCATATATTTTATTTCTTGGCACTCGAAACCATAACAATTGCTGCTGTTAACAGTACTGTAAAACATCTTTCATGCATGAGTCATCAGTAACATGCAATGCACTACATGTGTATAATGTACTTTGTGAACAATTCCAGATGGTGGATGATAGAAAAACTGTAGCGTTTTTAAAATTTCGTTTATACACAAGCTGAGTCATAAAGATTTGCTGTACTAGTTAAGAATCCGAGTGGAAAAATACTATGTTTGTTTATTTTGATCCCTCAGTCTGAATATATCAGGACATGTCACTGGGAAACTATTTTTTGGTTCCGTTATTTTAAGATCACAGTAACGACTCGGTACCGGAAATGATTGTTAGTGTGAAATCCTAGGGCTTGTAACAGTTACTAACTGACTGATTGAGCAACTGACTTGACTGACTTACAAAGTGACAAACTGAGTAACTGACCTTCTGACTGACTGACTTAGGACTAACTGAGAAACTAGCTAATTGAGTGTCTGTCATACAAACTGAGTGAGTGACTGACTGATTGAGCAACTGACTTACATGTACCAACTAACTGACTGACTTACAATCAGCAACAAAATTGTTGAGACATTGTACTCAAATAGGGTAACTTCAGAGAACAAAAGAATCTCTTCCCTGTCCCCTCCATTCAATGTTGGGGTGTTTGGCGTTTTGTAAAGGTAGCTCGAACATCAGCACAACATGGCATGGAGGGGATGGGGGAGGAAAAGCTGTATTTCCTCCTGTTGGAGTTAGTAAAAGGTAAAAAAAGCCCAGTTTAGAGCAAAGTGTCTCAATTCATTTTGTCACTGATTGTAGCTAAGTAACTGTCTGAAATACAAACTGACCAACTAATTCACTAAGAAACTGACTAATTTACTTACTAACTAATCAGCTGACTTAATAACTGAGTAACTCAGTAACTGGCTAACTGTCTAACTGACTGACTGACTGACTGACTGGGCAAATTGGTTACTGGCTAACTGTTTAACTTACTGAATTACTGAGTAACTGAGTGACTAGCTGATTGTTTAACTGACTGGCTGATGGAATGACTGATTGACAAACTGACAGAATGACTGGTTGATTGAACACCTTACCAAGTGTCTGACTAACTTCAAGCAATAAACCAACTGGCTGACTGAGCTGAAAAAGGTACTGACTAGCTGACTGGCTACTCCTGACTGACAGACTGATTAACTGACTGACATATCAACTGACTGAGTGACTGACTGAGTAAGGAGGGAAGGGTACTGTTATCACAGCAGGAGTGCCTTTTGCTAGTATAGTCAAGGGGTGGGTGATAATTTATTATAATTGCCAAAGAGCCATCCGAGAGAAGATGCTCGGATAGTGAGGCGGCAGCAGAATAAAGCTGCGCAAGACTCGGCTGTAGGCAGAAAAATTCTTGATTGAGCTTCAAAAAGTGTAACCTCATGTAATGTAGATTCCCCTGAGACCAAGTGGTGTGACAGTTTCAGCCAATCAAAAGGCGGTAAACTATACTTGGTGCATATGTGTTGTTTCCCCGGCAGCATGCGAAGACTGAACTTGAATGTGGTACGCTTTTATTGTTTATTCACTTAAATCTGGCCTCGGCAGTCAAGGAAAATGAAAACTTGATGCATTGTATTAATTTGGGGGCCATTAGTGTAAGGTTTTAATGAAGAGAAGCTTGTAAAAGTTTAAGCAAAGAAAAGTTTTCATGTGAAACAAGCAATTCTCACCACTAAAAAGGATCAGATTACACGAAGAGATAAGGAAAGCTTGATACGAAGAATAAAGTCGCTTCTGTTGAAAAATCTGATGTTGGGGAAAAAATCTGACCAGCAAATGGAAAAATAGGAATAAAAAAGAATTACAAGCCTAAAGCGAACGACAAAGGATAAGAAAACAATGCTATTTTTTTTTAAACCTGGCCGACTTTATAATAAAGTGAAAACAAAATACTGATGTGCTGTACATCGCATGTCCTTGAAAACATTTCAAGCAGCGCAGTGAATCATTCTAAAATTCAATCCGGAACTTGACAAAAAGCCTTGGGAAATTTCAGAGAAATGATGATTAAACTGCACAAATATTTATCTACAAAGTGAAACCAAACCGACAATAATTTTGTAGTGGTAAGAGAAACGATCAAACTAAGCAGGGGTCTGTAAAGTAAGGTTTGACTTGAATGGGAAATTAGACTATTCTGAAAATAACTGATGAGCTTCATTGTTTTCCAGATCAGATACCACAGAAAGACTGAACAAGGACTTTCATGAGCCAAGAGCCTCTGGTATCTTCAGTACTGTAAGTGCTGTACGCTTTGTGTTTTAATCCAGCTCTTAAAAAAATTTTTAAAAAAACTTATAAACAGAACTGTTTGGTTAAAAGTTTCATTAAGCTATACCATGTACCTTAAAACAACCTTGTAATTGCCAGTAATCCCTGTAATGACTAGTAGCCGGCTTTAACCAGCTGTTACCTCCTGTAACCTCTTGTATTCTCTTGTGACCTCTCATAACCCCTTTTAACCCCCTGTAACCCCCTGTAATCTCTTTAACCTCTATAATTCCCTGTAACCCCTTATAACCTTCCTTAATGAAACAGACGAGTCAGACTGGTTTATAAATTGCAGAAACAAATCAAAAAATAAAGTTTGCCTTTAAGGGTAATTAATAATGCTCTCTCTGTCAGTCAGTCAGTAATTCAGTTGCTCAGTTAATCAGTCACTTGGTCAGTTTGTTGGTCAGTCAGTCACTTAACTGAGTAACTCACTGCCTACATGACTGTCAGGCTGACAAATCAACTTAGTGACTAACTGACTGAGTGAGCAACTGACTTACATGTACCAACTGACTGACTGACTGACAGACAAACTGAGTAACTGACCATCTCACTGACTGACTCAGGACTAGCTGAGCAACTGACTTACTTACTTCAAGCAACATGCTAAGTGACTGTCTGACTGACTTACTGACCAACTGACTGATTTAATGACTGATCAACTAACCTTTTTGACTGACGGAGCAACTTGATTACTGGCTGACTGTCTACTTGTAACTGACTGATTGACTGGCTGATGGAATGACTGATTATATGACTGACTAAATGACTGACTGAATGAGCAGCTTACAGTACAAAGACATTGACTGATTGAGCAACTGACTGATTGACTGACTGACTGTGCAATTGAGTACCTGACCAGCTGACAGAATGACTGATTGAGCAACTGACTGACTGACTTACTGACTGACTGGGCAATTGGTACCTGACCGGCTGACAGAGTGACTGATTGAGCAACTGACTTACTGACTGACTGTGCAATTGGGTACCTGACTGGCTGACAGAATGACTGATTGAGCAACTGACTGACTGACTTACTGACTGACTGTGCAATTGGGTACCTGACCGGCTTACTGAATGACTGATTGAGCAACTGACTGACTGACTGTGCAATTGGGTACCTGACAGGCTGACAGAATGACTGATTGGGCAACTGACTGACTGACTGACGGTGCAATTGGGTACCTGACCGGCTGACAGAATGACTGATTGAGCAACTGACTGACTGACTTACTGACTGACTGTGCAATTGGGTACCTGACTGGCTGACAGAATGACTGATTGAGCAACTGACTGACTGACTTACTGACTGACTGTGCAATTGGGTACCTGACTGGCTGACAGAATGACTGATTGAGCAACTGACTGACTGACTTACTGACTGACTGTGCAATTGGGTACCTGACCGGCTTACTGAATGACTGATTGAGCAACTGACTGACTGACTGTGCAATTGGGTACCTGACCGGCTGACAGAATGACTGATTGGGCAACTGACTGACTGACTGACGGTGCAATTGGGTACCTGACCGGCTGACAGAATGACTGATTGAGCAACTGACTGACTGACTTACTGACTGTGCAATTGGGTACCTGACTGGCTGACAGAATGACTGATTGAGCAACTGACTGACTGACTTACTGACTGACTGTGCAATCGGGTACCTGACCAGCTTACTGAATGACTGATTGAGCAACTGACTGACTGATTGACTGTGCAATTGGGTGCCTGACTGGCTGACAGAATGAGTGATTGAGCAACTGACTGACTGACTGACTGTGCAATTGGGTACCTGACCGGCTGACAGAATGACTGATTGAGCAACTGACTGACTGACTTACTGACTGTGCAATTGGGTACCTGACTGGCTGACAGAATGACTGATTGAGCAACTGACTGACTGACTTACTGACTGACTGTGCAATTGGGTACCTGACCAGCTTACTGAATGACTGATTGAGCAACTGACTGACTGATTGACTGTGCAATTGGGTGCCTGACTGGCTGACAGAATGAGTGATTGAGCAACTGACTGACTGACTGACTGTGCAATTGGGTACCTGACCAGCTTACTGAATGACTGATTGAGCAACTGACTGACTGATTGACTGTGCAATTAGGTGCCTGACTGGCTGACAGAATGAGTGATTGAGCAACTGACTGACTGTCCAGTTGGGTACATGACTGGCTAACAGAATGACTGATTGAGCAATTGACTGAATGGCTGACTAACTGCAAGCAACTGACTGACTGACGTAGGGACTGACTGGAGTCTGCAAAGCAGGGGTCAATTTAATAAAACCTTCACAAGTGTAATTTACAAGTGTATCCATTGTTTTAGAGTCTGTTTTTATCACGCTCTGAACAAATGAACTTTTTCACTCCATTCCAGTGAGCTCCAGTTTTCTGTTGTCTTGTACAGAGTGTTATGATAACAAGAATTAAACCAAAAGAAAGTTATACATAATCAAACCAAATAATAAATACAAAACAAAGAAATGTACTCAGGGAAAAACTAAAGAAATTACTTAAAGGAATTTAAAACACACACACGTGACAGTAAAGATATATCTGAACTGTGAAGGACAATACATAAAATATGGTGACGGTATACAAGTGATCCTCGAACAATGGTTCCAAGCATTACACAAAAGGGTGGGATAAGTGACCTGGAACTTAAATTAAGCCCAGGAAACAATTGCTACACTTGTAAATGATATTTGCAAAAGTTCTATAAAATTGATACCAGAAGTGTTATTTGCTACAACAGTGAAGGGGTGGATGTTTATGAATGTTATAATCGTATGTGGTAAATTATTCCAACATGGTTGCCCTCTCTGGTATTCATGAAAATGTGATGCTGTCAAACCTCTTTAATATCAGCACTAAGGGGGCCATAGAAAGTGTCCATATTTACAGGTTTTCTGTTGTCTGAGGAGGTTGGATTTAGAGAAAGTTTAAGGGCTTTCTTTCCCCAGGGACAAAGCAAACTGTCTGTTATAATAAGCTTTCCAACAAAGCGGGTGGGAAATTGGTCTGTTCTGATAATCACTGACGAACTTCACTGAATATTTTAAATTTTTGTTTCCAGATCAGATGCCACAGAAAGACTGGACAAGGACTTTCACGAGCAAAGAGCCTCTGTTATCTTCAGTATGGTATGTGCTCTATGTTTTGCTTTGTAATCCAGCTCTTGAGTGAACCAGATAAACAGAATTGTTGGCCAGGTGATTTTAAAGTTTGATTAAGCTAATCCAAGGAAAGCTGTTATATTGTACTTAATTCTTTCATTTCACAGTTATTTCACCATCAAGTGCACCACATTTGGGAGTAAAATTTTATCAATCTTACTTTTCCCAATAAAACACCAACAACAACAAAAAGTAAAAAAACGTGCAAAATAAAATGCAAAGTAAAAGAGCAAAATTCCAAATCAAAATTAAATCAAGTACAGTTGTACAGCTCTGTCAGCATTATTGTGGTGAAAATAAAAATTTAACCCAGGATCATCTAATTGAGTGTAATTCTGAACAGCTACAGCTGTTGGTGATTCAGTGACTGGCACGTCAAAAGTATATAAGAGAAATCAGCAGGATCAAACAGATATTTTATTATTGACCTCTGAATAAATTATATTGGTACTTCAAGACCAGGCAAATAAATCATTATTTTCAAGCGATGCATTCAGAATTTCTGTGGAACCTTGTACATGTATGAATTATATATTTTGCATGAAATATTGATTGCAATCACAAGTTTTGTCTGCAGGGAATCATAATACAAAGACAGCTTAAACCCATTGAAATCTCTTTGATTTTAAGAACAACGATAGTTTGATTGATTGCTCAAATTCCAAGAGACGTGCACTTGTTGGTGGAGTACTTATTATCAGAAAGCTAATGAAAAAACGTGGACAATTTCAGTTTTCTCCTGGATTAGCATTTATCAACTTTGTTCAACTGTGTCACACATTTGAAACAATAGCCAAGTTCTGCTGTTATAATAATAATAATAATAATAATTATTATTATTATTATAATTATTATAATGTTGGTATTATAGTACCTGTTAGTGTAGATATGCAATCCATATTGTACCTTCAAATTTCTTACCACATTGATCTATTCAACTGACTGTCTGACAGAATAACTGACTTGACTGCAGGCAATTATACAACTAAATAATAAAATTAAGGACTGTCTTGGTGATTTAATAACCAGGGATCATTGCTAAATTGGGACTTAATAACCCAGGGATGGTAAGAATGACTGGGGCGAGTAGGGGGGACTAGGATGACTAGGATGACATGGATGAGTACAATGACTGGGATGACTGGGATTACTAGGGTGACTAAGATAACTAGGGTAACTGGGATGACTGTGATTGTTAGGGTGACTAGGATGACTGGGGTGACTGTGATTGCTAGGGTGACTGGGATGACTAGGATGACTGGGATGACTGTGATTGCTAGGGTGACTAGGATGACTGGATGACTGAAATGACTAGGATGATTAGGATGACTAAGATGAATGGGATGGTGAGGGTGACTAGGGCGAGTAGGGGGACCAGGATGACTGGGATGACATGGATGAGTACAATGACTGGGATGACTGTGATTGCTATAGTGACTAGGGCGACTGAGATGACTGGGATGACTAGGGTGACTGGGATGACTAGGATCACTGGGACGACTAGTGTGACTGGGATTACTAACACCGCGGCAAAACGCACTGCACATGATCACAAAATTTAACATCCGGTCAGATTTTTATTTCCGGTCTAGTAAATAAACCAATTGTGTAAGCATAACACGTCTGTCGCGCCACATTTAAAACAAAAGGCAGAAACAGACAAAAAGAGGGGCAAAAAAATCACTTCATTCAATAGCTGATATGTTTTTCTAGTGTCAAACTTTTGCATCACTTGGTTATCTGGTTGCACCAATGCTGAAAATTATGTTTGAAGTTTGTAGGTCGAGGGCAGTCAACAAGATAAATTTGTTTTTACTGGCTTTCTTGCATGCTACTGGTTTGGCATTAGTTAATTTGGGAGAAGGCGATAACTAAGAAAAGAATAGCAATACTTATTAAAGAAACCATGTCATTATTATCATTAACACTAGAAACAGAAAATGAAAGTTTAGACTGTTCATTATTTTTTTTATTATCAGAGAAAACAAAAACTTAAAACCAGTCACAAATACCTGGAGCTTTTGGTGTGTTGAATGATCTTGGCCGGGGAAACTCAACGTGCCTAAAAACGTACTGTCATTCAAGAAAAAGCCTATTTTATTTCTTATTAATTCTTTTCCATGGTTGTTCTTTGGTTGAAGACTTCAATAATTTTAGACTGTGCTGCTCGGCTGCATCTCATGCGAACATGAAACTTCCAGCTGCTAAATACATGGTATGAAAATTTCGACTTCTAAAAGCCATCAAACCAGCTTTTGCTCTCTGATTCTGAGAATGAAAAAATAAATAAATAAATAGACTTGTCAACTTGCTGCCAACCTCAAGAGTATAATTTAACTTATGTTTTATGGCAATCAACTCAGAAGAGCTTCATTTCAAAACAAGAACTCACTGGTAAGCTTAAATAAAACTACAAAGCAATTGTGTTGTCGTTTTCCAACCAAAGCTGAGAGTGGGTTTAAGACATTGAAGAACCGAAAATTATAACTACAATGCACAAGCTTGCAGTCATAACTTTTTATGTCTTACTTCAGCCAAGTTAAGTGAAAAATGGCAGTCAAAAACTTTGTTGTCGTGAAAGAAAATCAGTTTACCTGAAGCTCAAATTAGCCAAAATGCCACAAGTTATTATCAACTTCTCTTTTCTGAATCTAATCCACTAATTGTTTCACTGATCTGTGCCTGGTTATCCATAAATTAAAAAATAACTACAAAATAGTCAAAAATACAAGCAGCATAAGGCAAAACAACTGAACCACGAGCTTCACACATAATGAAGGCGACCGCACCTGGGAGACTTTGATCTGACTAGAAAGTGTGACTGAAAAAGTGAAATGCTCAACCTGGCGCATGCGTAGATGTTTTGCCGTGGTGTTGGGATTACTAGGATGACTTGGATGACTAGGGTGACTGGGATGACTAGGGTGCCTGGGGTGACTAAGATGACTAGGGTGACTGGGATGACTAGGGTGACTGGGGTGACTAGTGTGACTGGTATGACTGGGATGACTAGGGTGAGTAGAGAGACTGGGAGGACTACGATGACTGGGATGACTAGGATGACTGGGGTGACTGGGATGACTGGGGTGCCTGTGGTGACTAGGATGACAAGGGTGACTAAGGTGACTGGGGTGACTAGTGTGACTGGTATGACTGGGATGACTAGGGTGAGTAGAGAGACCGGGATGACCACGATGACTGGGATGACTAGGATGACTGGGGTGACTGGGATGACTGGGGTGACTGGGATGACTGGAGTAACTGGGATGACTAGGGCGGCAGTATTTTGGATGTGTTTTTTGAAGGTATAGTTGGTAGATTGCATATCTGTGCTGACTCGTATATTCGTCTTCTGAGAACTAGATGAGTGCATTTCAAATCTCCTTTTGCTTTATCCAGCAAATTCTCAGCATGGAAAAACGTCTTAGGAATGACTGATTGCACTTCACATTGATGATGTGCAGTGTAGTGCTTCTTGTTGACTGTTAATTATTTCATCGATTACAATACTTACCATAAAATCATCAGCCGACCTAAGACATCGTTTGATGAGGGGAAGGGGGGTGTGGGAGGAGAGAAGCATTTGTTCTTAGGTAAAACTGCAGACGTGGCAAATTGGTAAATTAATCTGTTGTTTTATTTTAGAGCTTGAATATCTGACTGACATTCATCACTGCAACAACTTACCTTCCTATTCTTGAAGATGATTTTTCAGTTAAAGTGAATAAAATGTCTAAATTCTTAAATTCAATTCCATTTTCATTCCACGTTCAAGGAAAATTTAGGCTACACAGTTTTCATCACAAGAAAATACGATTTGGCATGGGTGAACTGGAATATTACTTTAATTTGTTTTAATTGATTGCGAATTTGGATTGCGTGCCTAGTCTTCAAACCTCTGTGGAAAACAACAGCAAGTGCTTTGAGTATGGATCTTGTGGCTCTCATTCTTACATTCGTTGAATTGATTTTGCCAAGATGATCAGTCTAATGCTTGCAAAGTGAAATAAGAAGTACACAGCAAAAACAACAACAAAATTTCTGCTGCAGTGTTTTAAAGTACGTTTGACAAGCTCTGAATAAAACCGGGCGTGGAAAATTTAGTGTACTTCTGAGGAGGTAAAGTGGGGAGATTTTGAAAACTTGCACTCATCGTTTTCAATTCCAGAGTGATAAACATGTTATTCCTCTTTATTTCTTAAAGTACATTACCGAGCAGAAGGTTGTTGAAAATAAACGTAATTATGATGAGTGGGGAGGCTTTGTCTTGATCAACTGGCAAATTCTCAGAACTGATGGTAAAGAAAATCCGCAGCAGTTAGTAAAGAGAATAACATGTTAAAGCTTGGGACTGAAAGTTCACAGTAACCAAAAGGCCTTCAGATAAGCGGTTTGTTTTGCAATAACAATGGAACCATAAATACATGTGCAAATTGAAATTCTGATTATCAGCAACTCGTATAAAACTTGGAGTCTTTTTTTCTGCCGTTATTTAGGCTCGTCACGCAAAGTCGTGAAGCCAAAAAACGACCGCAAAGAAGATCACACGCAAGTTTGACATCGGATTTAGAGCATATTTAAGTGTTTTCTGTTAGGTTTTTTTTTACGTGCATGTTTTTTGTGGGATACCGTTAAATGAAAAACAAATCGCTTACTGAAAAAGTCTGAAATTTATTTCCTTATACTTTTGGAGCTCAAGCAATGACAAATGAAGACGGCGACAGCAATGGCACCTAACAAAAGGCTTCGCATGTACGCTCGCTTTAATTTTTTGGACTTTTATTCGCTTTTGTATGCAAAAAAACCGAGAATGTAATAATCAGAAGTTCAAGGTTTTGAGAACACAAATATTTAGCCATGTAACATCAAATTCAAAACGCGCGCGTACAAAGTTTAAATTAATAGGTAAATTTAAAATGCTGAGAAAATTAAAACATCAGAAGGCTTTCCCAGCTCGCTCGCTTTCACTTTCTTGCACATTTATTCCCTTTGTACGCAAAGCAACAAGAAACGTAATAATAAAAAATTCCAGGATTTGAGACGGAACACAAACATTAGGCCATCAAATATCAAATTCAAAACGTGCGCGTACAACGTTTTAAAAATTCAAAGGTAAATCAGTTAAAATGCTGAGAAAATTTAAACAATAAATGATGTTCGCATAACTGCTAATTATTTTTCAAGTGCCGATCTTACTGTCTTCGCTTTGTTGATTGCTTAAAGCTTTGTAATATGCGAGGCAGAACTTGGCTTATTATAAGGCTCGGACAAACAGTGAAACATTACGCGCAGTAACTTTGCACTGTGTTTCTACTCCTATAAAGAGTTATAAAGTTGACAACGTAGTAATTTTTCTGTTTTGGTTAGGAACATTTCGGACAAGGTTTTTAGTGGTGGAAACACAGTGTAATTTTAAGGCTGGTTTTTACTAGCAGCGTACCACAGACTTACGTTTAGCTAGGTCATCAACAACTGAAGTTTATTATAATACAAAACTGAAGGTGTGAGCACAAAGATTATTCTTGTTTTCTCGTCGTAACGGATTAACACAACACGAGCTGAACACAACAAAACAAACTTTGTTTTGGTTTATCTTGCTTATGCTTATGTTGTGTTAATTCGTAGCGCGGAAGAAGACTTATAATAAGTGGGTGGGTTTCCTAAAGCTGTGCTTATGCTTTTGTTGTTGATGTCTTTACTAAACTGACGCTTGTGTTCATGTTGTTAGTAGAAACCAGCCTTTACTGCGCATAATGTTTTACTGTGTCTGAGCCTTACGGGGGTTTATCTGGTTCACTCAAGTAGTTGGATTACAAAGTAAACAGCACAGGTACTGAAGATAACAGTATTTTATTGAACAAATAAAGCTCGTCTCTGTTGTCCAGTTATTTACAATAAAAAAAATACAAAAAAAAAGTAATCTAGCCTCCCCCGTCCCTGCC